AGGATCACTTAGATGGGTGTGTTGCTGAGTAGCTGTTTACCTAGTGTTTTCAAATGTCTCGTGGGAGATTTTAAATGATTATAGAGTTAAATCTACTTACAAAGACTTGAACATACTAGCGTTTTTTCTAGCCACTAGAAAGGTCAGTGGTTGCCGAAGATATGCTGCTAAGTAAAAAACTCTGCCTAGCTGGAGACAGCATTCAGCCAGAATTCACCCTTTGGGAAGTCAGACAGTCATTCCATAGCCTTTGAGAGCCGTCAGCCATGGAAGTGATGGGCTTCTACTGCCACTGGGCAGCAGAGCATCTTAATGATAGAATACTTGGGCAAATGCTAATTCTAATGACCTTAAACCTTGATGTCCCATATATGCAGCTATTTTTGTGTGTGCGTGACCCTGGCTAGTAACTATCAGAACAAATTTAATGGAGTTTCATCTGATTGGATATTATAAGCAAAACCTGTGAGAACATTTCTCTCCCCCGAAAATCTGATGTTCTACAAGTACAGGAAGGTTAGAGGTGCAGGATTAAGGGCAGGGAGCAGTATGGTTTCAAAGCAGTAGCACCAGTGTTCAGGATAGGCAAGGTCTTCAGGAAAAAAAAACTCAAATAAAGCAAGAAAGTTGTCTCTCTAGAACTTCCTTTGAGAATAGCCCACAAGAATTATTCTTTTTTTTAATTATGGATTACTCTTGTGAATAATTTCTAGTGTTTGTAGGAGTAAAGAATTCTTCTGAAGTGAAACAATTAAATTGGGGTTATTAAGGATCAACTCTAGGGAAAGCTATTTTAAAAAAAAAGAAAAAAGGTACTATTGTGATCCCATTGCTGTGTCCTAGCATCCGGCTGCCTATAATTAAGAGAAAGATGATGGTTGATCCTGCAGTGGTGCTCACTAAATTAGGTCATTCATTGCTGTAGAATTAATTAGTTGGCCTACTTCAGTCATTCATTCACAGACATTTATTAAGCCCTTAGTCGTGGCCAGGCACTGTGTTGAACACACAGAGGTAAATGAGATCTAGTTCTGATTCAGCCTTAGGGTTAAAGCAGGATTTTCTTCTAAACGTAAACTGTATTCTTCCTCCCCCTGCTTGCCTCTACCTGCGTTTTTTATATTAATTTTTTCAGACGTGAGCTGGTTATTTCTCTTTAGGAGAGTGATAGGAAATGACGTCACTCTCTCTTTAAATGAGCTCTTTAATAGATCAGTGGCTGTAGGTGAAGCTTCATAATTTTTAGGAGCTAATATCTCACTCTAGTAAAGTCAGCGTTATGATATATTGGGAGCCAGATGCTAAACTGACTCTTGAAACAAAAAAAGAAAAAAGGACAAAAGTTTTAGAACATGATAACCAAAAACCTGGACTCGAAATCTGAGACAGTAACAAATTCAGATCTCATATTCGGAATATCTTACTGCCCATTTGGTACAGATCTGTGCTCTGGTTATCTAAAACTATACATATCAAAAACTTAAAACCCTATTGAACGTGTTATTTTGAGACTCCAGCAATTGACATCTTTCATGCATTACTGGCCAGATTTAGAACAGTTTGATTTACTTGAAGAAATTGGCTCTTGTATACCTAAAACTAATATAATGTTATATGTCAGTTATATCTCAATTAAAAAAAAATTTACGACAAAGTAAAAAAAAAAAAAAATTGACTCCTGCTCTATTTTCTGAAGATCTGTGATTTATTTAAAATTGTTAGCCTTAACTGATAGATAAATTGGACTTAATCAAAATTTAAAACTTCTGTGCTTCAAAGGACACTATCAAGAAAGTAAAAGACAACGAAAAAGTGGGAGAAAATATTTGCAAATCATATGTCTGATAAGAAACTTGTTATCCAGAATATGTAAAGAACCCTTACAGCTCAATCATAAAAGTAATTACCTTACTAATTCATTAACTTTTGATAGTCCTATATCTTCTGGTGTATTCTTGCACGGATGTTCGCTCAGTCGTGGGGAAGGAGGACAGTAGGGTAAGAGCTGATCTCTTTCCGATTTTGCACAAGTCTCAGTTCACCCTGCAGTTCTTATCCGAGGGAATGATGGTGGCTATGGGGGGGGTCCTCAAGGCTTTTGCAGCCAAGCCCAGCAGCGCATTGCAGGCTCTTCCCCACTCCCACCTCCAAGAACGCCGTGCTGCCCAGCCACAGAGGCCCGTCCTGTTGCTCCCACACACCGTGGCCCTTCCTTCCCCGTGATGTTCCAGCTCCCTAGAATCTGGACCTTCTCACCCCTGCAGCCACCCATCCACCTGGTGAGCTTACTTGTCAATGACCAACTCAATTCTAGCATCTTTCTGTAGCCTTTATGAAAAATCAATGGTACCTTCATGTGAGTGCCATAGAATTTTTCGCATACCCCCGAGTAAGCACTTATGTGGTATTACGTGTACTTGTCGCTTATAAGTCTGTCTCCTTAGGTAGACCCTGATGAGGCCCCTTGCAGCCAGGCACCACATCTCATTCACCTACTTAGCCTCAATCGAAGCTCACTGCCCAGCCATAGTAGATGCTCAGTAAATGTCTCACTGATGGAATTTTTAGACTGGGTAGAGCTTCTTTTAAGAGAAAGGTAGAGAGAAGTGTAAGTGGTCCCAAAGTACCTGGAAGAAAGGGCTCTGACTCTACTGTGTGTATTTCAAAGTGAAGCAACAGAAACATAGGCTGCAATGAAGGCACTTTGTGTTGCTCAGAGGAAGGACCACACAGGTTCCCAGACTCAGCCTCCCATTCAGAGAAATAGATTCTGATTGCCAGCCTCTGCCATTGTGCCTGGAAGTGATTGTTTTTGGGTTTGCATATCCCACCCCTTTACATGCTTGGGTTGTAAACCATCTGACGACTGACCCTGAATCATTAGCAAGTGACTTTCCATTCTTCTTAATGTACTTTCCATCTAATCAGTTTGCTGCCAGCTCACAGCCTTCAACCGCATGCCATTGGAATGATGCATCTTACCGCTCACTGCTTTTAACCTAGTTCCACTTGAACTCAAATCTCTCTTTTGGAAAATTCAACCTTATACCAGTCACCTTTGTGAGCCAAGTTGATGAACTGAGTTTGTTTCTTTGGTTTCTCCTTTTTGATGTACCTCCTTCCGGTTTGTTCATTTTGAATTTTTATTATGCTAGCTTTGTTTTCTTTCTTGCTCTCCCTTCTCTCATTTTGTTTTCTCCATTCTTCTCATTGGAGGCAATGAGCCATCCAGCGGCCGGAACTCCCCTCTCCCTTATCGGCCAGACAGCCGCCCTCTCACTCCAACTTACGCTCAGGCCCCTAAACATTTCCATGTTCCAGGTAGGAGCTGACATGGTCTGTGTCTTGGTGTCCTGTCACCGTGCAGAATGTAGCCTTGTCGCCTCTGTCTCGTCTCCATTTCTCATGCTCTTTTAATTGAGATGCTCACAGCCGACAAACCCTAAATTGCAGGACCTGACCTAGAGGGCCTTTCAAAAGCTTTGTATGGGAGATGCCAGGATTGTATTGAAGGTTTACATTTTCTCTAAAATTTTTGAAGGGGGATGGGAGGCAGAGGGTGAAGGAATAAGGGTTGAGTTGCTTCGTTTTGTCTTGTTTTGACAAAAATTTTAATTTTACCCTTATGTTAGTACCTTCTGAGATACCACTCTGTGGTTTAGTGTCATTGTGTAACACAATGGCAATCTAGTTACCTTCTCAGCCTAAAGACTGAACCACAGTGTTCTTGAGAGTACTTTTATTTTATCTGTTTGTCTCCAGTGTGGAGATTCTTTTTATGGACTTTTCAGGGAGCTGAAAAATTGGGTCATTTGGAGGGTCTTTCTGCAGTGTGTAATTAACTAACCACCTCCGTAGCCCACAGAGACATCTTGCAATTTAGGCTTGGTGCTATAAGCTTTGCTGTCATGGTACAAATAGTAATTTGCCATCAGGAACTGGAAAAATCAGAACCCATCAGTATCTTAATATTTAGGGTCAGCTCACAATCTTTGTGAAGGCAAGATTGGCCGTCAGAAGTCATGATATTATTTTTCCGTCAGAAGTACATTGTTTTGCTTCTTTTAGCTACTGAAAGTGGTTTAATAAATTACCCATTATGTTAATGTTAGCATACATATTTGGAATCTGTAGTAGTTTTTCTCTTTTGCATTCCACACTTACCTAGAACTTTGAACAGAGGAAAGTTCAATGGGCTTCATACCACTGAGATAGGACTGCCTTTAAAAAATACATATAAATGAAGTTTCATCGAACCTTGAAAATCAGTGTTTTATGTTTGCAACTTTTTTCATAAAGAATGCCCAACCAGGATCCAGTGCCCAAGATTCTGGGGAAACCTTTTGAAACCTACTGAGTATTTGCAGTCAAAGTTTAATGGTTGCATAATCAAATGGGGTCCTATATAAATATATGAATAATATTTGGCATCTCCTTACTCTTCCTTTCTTTTGTAAAATTTGGCCTATACAAACTAGGATTTTGTCAAACATCCTGTCAATACATCAGACTAGCCTCGCACCTAAAAATTGTTTCTATGTTTTACAAAAATATACTCTTAATTTTCACTACATCGCTTTCCACTGTTCCACTCATTAGTTGAAAAGTAAATTGAGCCACTGGTCTCTACTGGGAGCTCAATTTCGAGACAGTAGCAATTTGGGGATCTTCCCCAAACTGGTTATGTCTTCCTCACCATCACAGTATCTGCACTGCTTGCATTTCTTCCTGTTTTAACCCCACTTTTAGTGAAGTGTATATTTGAAATAAATGGCTCATGAGTGAATGACATCTCTCTATATCCTAAGATGTATTACAAAGGATTCCATGTCACATGTCTATAGTAATTCACTCATTCCTGTAATTTCTTCTTCCAGTAACTTCAATCTTTGTAATACAAAAGTTAACCTTCTGGGTTATTTTTGTTGGAGAATCTTCAGTTTGGTTTGCCTCTTGGTTGCCTCCCCGTAATCACACACCTTTGCTTTTCATTTCCACAGATCAAGGGATCAACATTTACCGAAAACCACCCATCTACAAACAGCATGGTAAAACCCGCTTTCCTCCGCGTAGCTTTTAAGTAGCAACGTCAGCTGAACTCTTCACTGTCCTCTGAAAGGCTTACCTGCTGCTGCTTTTGAGAATCAAACTGGGGCGTCCAGTGCATTATGCCTTTATGGTCTCCTGTGATGCAAATATTGTGAAGTCGGTTTTCCTAGATAGAGAACCCTTAGCTTGATTAGGAAACTTCTAGCTTATTTCTGAGCCCATCAAACCATGTATCATTACACTCATAGAGAAGGAAAGATACGGTCACACAGTAATTCACAAACTCCCTAACAAGACTTTTTTTGGGGGCCATCAAATAATTTAACCATCTCTCTGATAATTTTGATGAGCTTGCAGTTAGTTTAACTAATTAAAACTAGTGAAGGCTAGCTACCTAAAAATTAATTTGACCAAGGGAATTCCCTGACGTTCCAGTGGTTAGGACTCTGTGCTTCCATTGCAGGGAGCACAGGTTCGATCTCTGGTCAGGGAACTAAGATACCGCAAGCTGTGTGGCCAAAAAAACATTAAATTGACCAAGCTTCCATCAGCCTGACTGTCCAGTTCCCCAGTTTCTGATGGAGCATGCAGATGTCTGCACCCTGTGGTAGAGGGGATGGGACTCATGCTGAGACAGAGGCCCTAGCCTTGATCCCAGCTCTTCACCTAAACGGTTCTGTGATATCAGAAACGTAACCTCTGTCCCTCAGTTTTCTCATCTGCAAAAACCAGTACATTAGGCCAGCTTGTCTCTGAAATTCCTGCAAGCTAAGAACCACTGATGTGGATTTGTAATTGTGTTTTCCTTTTCTGGGAATATAGAATTTTTAAACCCAGGAAATCATATTACTCTTTGTAAATCACATTTCCCTCCAACATTATTAGGTCTCTATAGATTCAGCTGCTGTAAATCTTTGTGAATGGGTAGAAAGCCAAGACTGGTCTCCAGGTGATTTCAGAAAATTATACACAAATTGTGCCTGGAAATTTGAAGGCTGCCTTTAGAATCCAGTTGACATTAATGAGTCCTAAAGGCTTAGGATGACATGAAAAGCAAATAGAGTTGAAAATGCAAAAAGGAAAAAAATTTCAGGCCAACATTCTAGGGGAAAAAGAATGTATGTATTGCAATGGTTCTAGAACTATGATTTTTTTTATCTGTGTGTTTTTTTTTTTTTTGAGTTTACACCATGTGCTTGCTTTTTTAAGTTTCTTAACCTTGTTTTTGTTTGCTTTTTTTTATGGTTTAATGTCTTCTCACCCACTCATTAACATGTGAATGTTTACTGACTTCACCAATTCTAATGCGTAAGTACTGTTTGAAGTCTGGCTTTAAAAATATATATATTTTTTAATTTAAGAATAAGATTCCCAGTTTGATTTATCAGTTTATAGAGACTTTTTTTAAAATACTAAAATCTCTAAGACCCTGCCTCTCCAAATAAAAATAATCAAATACTTAAGATTTAAAAAGATAGGATAATGTTAGGTTATTTATTTGGAAGGGATTAGTTTGCTTCTTTTTGTGAAATTGACTTTACTCTTTACTTTCTTTCAGTCTCTTGTAATTAAGAGTAGCACAACCAGAGCGGTACATCCCAAAGGACATTCTGCAAAAGAGCAATTCTCTGTGATAGAAATAGATGTCATACCAAAAACTGGTGTCTATGCCCTGTGCATTTGGAAAATGCTAGACTTAAATAAAGTACACTTCTTAGTCTTTAATATGCTAACACATATAGTCCTTCTTTAGGAAGAGGATATAGTGTGCAGTGTTTTCCAAGCTGATTTTATCTTTTATACTCATGAGGTTAGAAATTCAGGAAAAATACTGTTCCATGCCTGGCTGAGAATTTATCCCTTATTATTATGTAGGGCGACCTCAGTCAAGTTACTTAAGCAAATTGAGACCCAGAAAGTTACTTAAAAAATGTGGAATTGGAGATGAAAGTTCAAAAAGTTACTTCCAGATTTAAAAATCTGTGAGCCCAGGGAGGGGGGCAAATTTTATTTATAGCATTATAAATATATTGTGGAATGTTTAGTAACATCCCAGGTCAGCTTGCAGAATTAGCCAGAATCAGGGACTGACCATTTAACCTGGTTTGTTTTGCTCCACTTCTGTGATTCCATCTGGGGCTCTAAGCCAATGACTCCACCTATCAGCACAGCCATTAAGAACTGCGAACTCATGCTGCTCCTATTCTGGCTTTTGTGGTTTTAAAGCTGGATGACTCATTTGTATATGCAGCCCCTTGAACAAAACAGCGAGTGGGTATGGCAAACCCAAGTCTCAAGGCTAAATTCCTGCAAGCTGACAGTGGATTCTCCTGCTGCCACTTCACCTAGGAATCAAGGACACATATACAATAGGCAAGGATTGAAATGAACCGGACCAATATTTTTGTGGCTGAGAAGCCACAAAAATTCAAAGCCAACCAACTCTCTTACGATTAACACCTACAGTCAAGTGACAATGTCATGCTTTTCACTAACCTCTTTAATTTCAAATTAACTAGATTCAGATTTCTAATTGCTCTAGAATTGTCCAGTGGAACTTTCCGGGATGATGGAAATGTTCTATAACTATACTGTCCAGTACAGTAGCCGCTAATCACGTGTAGGTATGGATCACATAAAATGTGGCTAGTGCCACTGAGGAACTGAATTTTAGTTTTATTAATCGTTTGTTTTATTTAATTGTGTTCATTTAAACGTGAATAGCCACGTGTGGCTCGAGCTAGTATTGGACAGCACAGCTCTGGAACGAGATTTTTCAGATGTAGAACAGATGTAGAATGAAGCTTTGCTTCCGGCAGAACGTAAGGAGGGTGAGTCGAGTTGTCACTAGGAACTGTTAGTGACGGGGCGATGGATAACGGTTATAAACAGCTCTCTGGAGTTCACACTTTTTGCCAGAGCACGAGAAAACTATGTGAGAGGATTGTATACTATCATGACCTTACAGACCGCTAGCTAAGCTGCCCCTGATTCCCATCCAGATGCAGCTGCCTTGGCAGCCCAGAGCAAGTCTTCAGAAGACATCATCAAGTTTTCCAAGTTCCCAGCAGCCCAGGCTCCAGACCCCAGCGAGATACCAAAGATTGAGACGGACCACTGGCCTGGTCCCCCCTCACTTGCCGCCATAGGTATGCAACGGTAGCAGCTAAGCCACATGGACAGATTGCTAGGAGATCTCAAGATGCAGTGCTTAAAAGTATGCAAGGACATGTGTCCTAGTGTAAAGACTTTTTAAGAAAAGTATGACCAAGAGTTAGAACAGTGAAAAGAACTAAGGTAGTGTTAACGTGTGTGCAGAATGCTTCAAAAACCCAACCACCAGAGCCTTGTGCTAACCAAGCCCAGTGAGGTGCAGAACTGGTCTAAAACGGGTGTTTTGCGTGGACTCTCAGTTATTATTGTAAAGTCAGTAACTTTTTTTTTTTTGTGGTACGCGGGCCTCTCACCGTTGCAGCCTCTCCCGTTGCGGAGCACAGGCTCCGGACGCGCAGGCCCAGCGGCCATGGCTCACGGGCCCAGCCGCTCCGCGGCATGTGGGATCCTCCCGGACCGGGGCACGAACCCACGTCCCCCGCATCGGCAGGCGGACTCCCAACCACTGCACCATCAGGGAAGCCCCAGTAACTCTTTTGAACATAGTTGAATCAAAGCCTCCTGCCAAGAACTTCGTTCTACATAGTTAGAGCATAGTGGGTGGATTTACTGAGTGTCCACAGAAGTGTGACTTCTTTGAATTAAGTTTGTTTTAGACGATTTCTGGGTTGTAATTACGATTCTCTTAACAACCAATCTTAACACTGAAGCTCTTTCATTTTTCTTGCCTGATCACGTTCTGCATTACTAAGAAGGGCTGTTACAGAGTAGCAGGTGTTCTGGAATATTACTCACGTAAAGTTACATGATTTCACATCTGTCATTTCCATGGCTTCTGTGCTAAAATGTCACATTGGAGCTGTTTCATTCTTTGCTTTGAACCACACATTTATGCTTTAGAACTGTCTGTGTGTTTACTGCTTTGTCATTAGTGAAATCACTTGGCCCTAAAAAATGGTATTAGCAAACTCAGAAGCTAGTACTGAAAATTTAGTGAGTCAGCTTTACAAAGATATGACTATCTTATCACATTTCTGTTGACAACCTAAAAGGCCTTCAATTTTCCAAAATTCCCAAATTTTCTTCATCCTGCTATTTTTCGCCAAGTTATTTTTGGAATAACTTTTACAGGCAATAGAAGTGGATTTTAAAGCAATTGATATCTATAGAAATAGTTGAAGGAAAAATCTATTATGCCTCCTGGGTTCCTTATTCACAAGTATTCTATACGTTATGTTGACTTAAGATGTATCTAGTTCTTGAAAACTTATGTCTATTCATTTTTGTTAGTGTAGATTAAAGAGAGAAAATTCACGTTGATATTCATGATTTTAGAAACTAAGACTCAGCCGTCAGCTTTTTTATTCTGCTGGTCCACGTCCTTCAGGCAGTTCTTGGGGCCGCTGAGGTTCCTAGTTCAGTCGTGTTGCATAGCAGGGACATTAAACAGCTAAACTTTGGGGGAGAATTAACATTTTGTTGTTACCAACTGTCATCACTAAATAGTTTGGGGTTCCAAAATGAAGAAAGCTTCTGGTCCATTAATCCAACTGATCAAACCCTGAAGGTATTAGTTAGAGTTTATTTTGATTAGATTAGCAGGCTTTCCTATCTCTTCCCACAGCTAAATTAGTCCAAGCCACTTAGGAAAAGCGATAATTATCTTAATTTTCCAGACATCCAGACAGATTCCTCCTTTCCCCTCCATCTCCCCTTTTCCAGGAAGCTTAAAAATTGTACGTGATCTGCTCTATTATACTGAAATAAGTAACTTTTTAGCTGCATTAACCCTTTTTATTGGCCCATTAGTATAAAACCCTTTTGTGACCATTTTCTGAAAGATTAAGAGCAAGGAAACATTAGAGACCCATCCCTTCAAAGAAAAATAAAGCATGCTTCTTTTTTCTTTTTTTAAAAAAATATTTATTTATTTGGTTGCACTGGGTCTTAGTTGCAGCAGGTGGGCTCTTTAGTTGTGGCTTGAGAGCTTCTTAGTTGTGGCTTGCTGCCTCCTTAGTTGTGACACATGGGCTCCTTAGTTGTGGCATGCAAACTCTTAGTTGTGGCATGTATGTGGGATCTAGTTCCCCGACCAGGGATCGAACCTGGGCCCCCTGCATTGGGAGCGTGGAGTCTTAACCACTGAAGCATGCTTCTTAATGAATTTATTGGAGGTAGAAGACAGGGTGATGGTATGGTGACAAACCTAAATATTCAGAAAAAGAAAACAAGATTTTTAAATTCATCACAAGAGACTGTCTTACCTATTTGATGGTATCTAGATGAACCTGGCTTCCTCTCTATTTGAACAATGACCTCAGGGACATGAAAATAATAACCGTAGATGCCCCTCCCACCTACTATGGAAGCTCTGACCAGTGGCCAGTGGGATGACTTAGACCCAATCATAATGGCAAACCGAGTTCTAATTGAGCAGATCAGATTGTTGGGAGGCATGCCTTACTGAATCACATTTTTGGACTGGCTTGTCGAACGGGGCCCGTTGTCTCAAGAAACCAGCTGAACTGGTGGCAGGCTCTTTTTGCCCATGTGTTGTTCACGAATGTTGAAGACCACTGCTGACTTTGCCCGCCTGACACGCTGAGCACAGGTGGACTAGTCCCTTGAGCTCCCCTTGCTGTGGGGCTAACGTGAGAGGTTGTCTTTGCTGTGGACTTAGGAGCTGACATGAGACGCAGATCTAGTGGCAGAGAGGAAGACGACGAGGAACTGCTGAGACGCCGGCAGCTACAAGAGGAGCAATTAATGAAGGTTTGTCCTTAAACTACTTTGCTGCAGCCTTCACTTCGGTTCTGTCTTCTGTCAATCCATGTTACTGAATGATTGCTATGAGCGAGCCACCAAGATTAGCAGAGGGTACTCCCAGCCCTCAGGGGCTTACGGTCCAGTAGGAGAGACAAGATGGGCATCTAGTGACTGTAATAAGGCAGATACTTAGCGGGTTCTGGAAGAGGTGACCTGGAGGTCAGAGAGACACGGAATGTTTGGGCCTTTTCGAGGAGAGCGAGACTCTGTGTGGGGTGTGTGGGTGTGCGGTGCATGTGTTGAAAGGATGCTGAAAGGCCAGGTAAAGCCAGAGTGCACTCCGAGGTGGTACAACACCTTCCTTCCCTCACGCAGGCTCTGCTGAAGGGATTCCCTTGGGAAAGAGCCTTTCTCCAAGTCTTTCCTCAGGACTCATAGGACCTTGTGTGTGTGTATCTGGACCAAGAGAGAGGGGATAAAATGGACTGTCACTAAGACATCCTCATTATACACTCCGTCTCTAGCTAGGCCCACAGCATCCCAGAAGGCCTGGGGTTGAGGGAGCCTAGAAATAAATGATCAACTCCTACCAATAAGGGTCATTTTCCAAAGATACTTCATCATATGGGGAATGCACATGATACTAGTTATATAAGGATACAAAGTTACATTTATTATGTGTTCCCAGTTTTGTATATTATGTGCGTAGAAAACTACTGGATAGATGCAGATCAGCATGTAAATGGTGGTTGTCTCTGAGTGGTGGATTATGGGTTCTTCTTTCCTTCTGGGTTTTCTAGAATCTGTACAATGAGCATGCATTATTTTTTCCCCTGTTTTTAAACAAATCAGTGTAATTTATCTTTAAAGGCTACTGTCCCCAGTCTTCCCTTCCCACATCAAAAATCTGTACATACTCACACATTGCCCTCCTGAGTCTACCTGCTGGTGCTTTGCAGGGAGGGCAAAGGAGGGAGAACACTCTTCTGATGTGGAGCCTGGTTTAGGGCAACAGAGCCTTGACATTGAAGGGACTATGGTGGGTTCAAGGTCCAAGACCTGGCTGACCTTTTGGGGAGCCACCAGGCTCTGGGACAATATGCCTCAGCCCTCTCCAGAGTCAGGAACTTCTTGCAGGCTCTCCTAAAAAGAAACTGCAGTTCCCTAAAAGTAATTGCGGGCTTCGCTTTCATTTTTCTTTTCTCTGTGAATAGCTCAACTCGGGCCTGGGCCAGTTGATACTGAAAGAAGAGATGGAGAAGGAGAGGGAGAGCCGGGAGAGGTCCTCCCTGGCCACCGGGCGCTATGATTCTGCCATCAACTCAGGTGAGCAGCAGACCCACCGCCTTCCCTGAGCCAGGAGCTGGCCACCTGCCTGCAAGGAGCCTATTTTGACGGTTCCAGGAGAGGCAGGGTGGTTTCTGGTGGAATCTACAGAGTGTTCTATAGGAAAGGAAGTGTAAGAATCCTATGTCATGTCAACTTAGCTTAAGAGCCTGCCATGGCTCTTCCTTAAATGTGTGTTTCCTTCCTGTTGGAAATAGGGGGAGCCCTTGGAGGATCTCAGGAACCAAGAGGGGTCAGTTCCCTTGTGCTGGGTCTACCTTCTAGAACATACATCTCAGAGGGAAGCGGCAAAAAGAAACTCCTCATAGAGAACAGAATGCTTTTTAGAACTTTGTTCTTTTTTTTTGATTTGGTTGCCCTGTGGGCCATTAGTTCCCTAACCAGGGACTGAACGCGTGCCCCCTGCGGTGGAAGCACAGAGTCTTAACCACTAGACCGCCAGGGAAGTCCAAGAACAGAACGCTTTTTAACTGTAGAGAGCATGAACAATTTTTTCAAAGTATTATGACTTTAGTATATTCAATATAAGAGCTGAGGGCTAACAGTGCTGTTGTTGATACTTTTGAAAGAGATTACTTATATACTGGGCTGAATAGTCTTTCGGTATATTTTCCCCTGCTTATACTTGTCATAAGCCTGTTCTCTTTTAACCCACGAGAGACGTTCTCACATGTTGTGAACTAGTGCATAATTTTCTCTCCTGAGGATTCCTTTAAACATGTGTTTAGTGCTTCCTCTGCAAACACTTCTGCTAAACATTATTTCATTTAATCTTCACGACATACCAATGAAGTAGATGGTATTAAGAGTATTATCATCTTCCCCATTTTGTAGATCAGGAGACAAGTAAAGGGAAGTTTAAGTAACTTACCCGATGTCACATTGCTGATAACTACCAAAACTAAGGTTTAGGAGCCTAAGTATTATAACCCCAGAGCCTACACCCTTAACCGGAATGCCCTGCTACTTCTCATAGATGTGTCACTGGCATTAATCTTGGATTAGGTAGTTTAGTAATCTTTAGAGTTCCTTCCAATTCTGCAACTCTGTTGTATAAAAATAAATAGCACTGTATCTACATGGGTCAAGAAATGAAGACTTAACAAGATGGAATACGATGCCCGAAGATGCAGAGGTGTTAAGTTGCAGAGCCAAAACCCAAGCCCAGGTCTACTCCCTCCAAAGCCCAGCAGTTTATGAGGTGTCCACGCTGTTGATCAATGGGATACCCTATCCCAAGCCTCCCAGGAGTCCACCTGTGGTTGACCAGTAGATCTTGGTAACGTAAGTGTAGGCCTCCAGATCAGTTATTGCTGCCGTACCAACTGGGGCTTGGGCCTGTGTATCCCAATAGCCCTGGGTTTAGATCATTGCTTAGATCTTTACAAGCTGAGCAGCCGTGGGCAAGATACTTACATTTCTATTAGCCCCTATTTCTTCTCCTGTAAAATGGAAATACTACCATCATTATTAGGATTGTGTTGAGGATTCAGAGATGCCAAGCACTTCTTCCTTCCCCATCCCTCCTCGAAAATTTCACTGCCCACCCATTCCCTGCATCACCCAAACATGGTGGCATTTTATGAACATTTGAGCCCAATATTTGGATTGTTTTTTTCTAAATCCTCTATTCTGTAGGGTAGAAGATACACTGCCGACTTCATGAAAGAATTGGACCTCGGGTTCCTAACAATTACTTTTTTTATCTTTCTCTTATTCAGCTTCACATGCTCTATCATCGAAAACCTCATCTCTCCCAGGCTATGGGAAAAACGGGCTTCACCGGGTGAGATTTCTCAGTTACTCGTTTCTGAGTCTCTTCCCTCTTGAGTCCTGGTGGAAGTGCTGATGTATTGTCTGAATACATCTGACAATATGATCTCAGTGTTGGATATAATGAAAATTGTAATCACCCTGCTCTCCTGGTAAATCACTTTGAGTTACAGGCAAAATAAGATATTTCTATTGAGAGAAAGAGGAATTGACTTTAGATAAAAGAATAGCCTGTATAAGCTTATGGGAAGACTAGATTAATTGTGTGCCCAATATTTCTACAGTTAAGCAAAAAGTAATTACTGGAGCCATTATCTCTGCTGTAAAAAGATACAGGAAAGTTTGTTACAACCTCCCTCCCCACAAAGCATAGAACAAGTGTAACTGTGTAGCTGTGATGTGGAAAAATGTGTTTTTATTTATCAGCAAGAGATACTTGCTTGCCAAGGACCTGCTGAGCAGTAGCATAGGATATACCACAAAACACAGGTATTTCATAGAAGAAGAACTACGTAGGAAAAATAATAGGGGTCCAGGAATTCGGCTTGGGAGGAATTCTCAGGATTTTGTAAATCCCATCTTCCTTTTCGCCTGACTCCAGAATGAGTACCGTGGAGCAGATTTGCTAATGGTGTGTTTTTCTTCATTTCAGCCTGTTTCTACAGACTTTGCTCAGTACAGCAGCTATGGGGATGTCAGCGGGGGAGTGCGAGGTGAGGCCCCTGCGGCCAGGTGTTGGCTGACCAAGGGGAAGAGGGGCTGTGCTGTCACAGGCATGTTAGCTGGGCTCAGGCTGTGTCACATCCTACGGTCAGATCACATCTGTCCTCTGAGCCATCAGGGCATGTATTAAAATCCCAGAGGGTCTCTCCTGATGTGAGACCACAAGAAGCGAGTTTGTAGGAGGGAATTCATTGCTCCTACTATGTGCTGAGCACTAATTAGATCCCTGGAAGTACCGTGATAAGCAAGACAGGGGCCTACCTTCAAAATGCATATGGCTACAGATGAACTGGGGTGCAAGGCAGAAACAGAGACACAGATGTAGAGAACAAATGTATGGACACCAAGGGGGGAAAGCGGGGGGCAGGGCTGGGATGAACTGGGAGATTGGGATTGACATATATACACTAATATGTATAAAATAGATAACTAATAAAAAATGCATGTGACAGAGACAGAGAGAGAGAAACTCTGTGAGATAAATGCTACGATCGGAGATGCAGAGAGAAGGGAGAAACACCTTCAGGGTGTCAGCTTCCACAAGAAAGGGTGTTTAAACTGATAACTAAAACCAGAGCGGGCATCTTCCAGCTTCAGGGAGCAGCCAGGCAGTGTGCGCAGAGACCCGGAGCCAGGAGAGCGTGGCTTGTTGGGGGATGTTTGGAGAATTGCAATAGGTTATAATCTCTGTTGATGTTTCCCTGTTTTAATATGGGCTTGCCCTTCTGAGATTTTCTTTTTCTTTCCTTTCCAGACTACCAGGTATGGAACACTGTCTTTCCCAAGTTGGCCACACCAGCAAAACAGCCTTTTCACAATCCAGACATGTTCTGCTGCTCCAGGGAAGGGTTTCTGTTGAGAAGACCCTGACTTTAGTTGATCCGTCTAATCTTTAGTCCACAGATGTGAGGAGCCATGAGCAGCAGGCATGCCTGGTGCCCGGGTCAAGCTGGTCCTGCAGGCCTGCATGAGCCACACCAGGTGTCCGAGGACCCTCTTGCTCTGCCTTTGGAGAGTCCTCTCTGGGGTGGAAGTGGACCTGCATCAAGGGTCCACACACATACAGTTGCTTTTTCTTTTAGTTATAACCACTCACTCCTTGAGGCCCTCCCCTCCTCTGTGTGGTCACAGATGAAAAGAAACCCCTGTCTTGGCCAATAGGAAAGAGCTGGTGTGGTACCATTCCTTTTTTCCTAGAACCTAAACCTTGTAAAATGATAATGGAGAATGAGAAAAGGGGAAAAATGCAAAGAAAGCTAAGATTAGAATTAAAAAAAACAAACAAACATAGACCTGGCAATTCTTTGACGTACCATATACTTTAACACGTGCAGCCTACATTCAGGGATTAGTCAATAGTTATTAAGCCAAAATCTTTCATCAGCTGGAGTATAAAAGCAGCATTCCCACTATCCCTGCTTTTATTTAACAAGGAGCTCATTTTGAAAAATCCATGGTAATTAAGGTGACACATCTCTAAAATGGCCGTGAAGATTTGAGACCCAAACAGGGAGGTCTAGGAGCCCACAGAGCTCTCCCTCAGCTCCCCATGCTGCCATGGGCCACTCCTGAAACCTGCATTTCTGCTGCAGACCCTCCCAGATGGCCACATGCCTGGAATGAGGATGGACCGGGGTGTCTCCATGCCTAACATGTTGGAACCAAAGGCAAGTGTGGCTCTTTTTCTCTTTCCTCTCACATGGGATGAAACTGACACATAACCCTGAAAAGATTTGATTTTCTATCTTTTTCACCATCTTCAGGGTTGAGACCCTCTTGGCTCCAGGCCAGTGCATTAGGCAGGGTGTGTCATAAAGCATCTTTCCACTCTGTGGGTTTTGTCACACCGAGTCAGCAGGTTTAAGCCCTCGCTGGGTCTGGTGCTGTGTGTTCCCAGTGAAGTGCCAGCGCTTCTCTCCTGTGACCTCGGTGTGTACTTGGCCCCTGCCATGAGCATGGCAAAGCCTGCTCCACGTGGAGCAGCTGCAGCGCCCTCCGGATAGGGGGACCAACACATCCTAGCTTACCCAAGACCTTCCTGGATTTAGCACCGGAAATCTTGCATCCTGGGATCCTCCTTAGTCCCAAGCAAACTGGGATGATGGGTTGCCCCAGCTCCAGAACATCCTGTGACTCCAAGGGTATCCAAGAGCTGTGCTCCTTGGTGACTATAACTGGGGCTTATTTCAATACGTCATCTACCAAAACACTGCTTCTGGGACTGGATTCATGAGCTGGACATGGAACGAGATTTTTTAACCCTACAAGTGTGTACTGCCTTGTAAAACATAAACCTCTAATTTCAATTCTCTTCCAATTTTTACCTTCATCCCCAATACATAGTAAGTTGTATTCTTTTACTCAGCAGCGCCCTCCAGAGGCACAGTGCCACATGAGACACTTGTGGGTATTGGGAATGTATAGGAACCTGCCCCTGTCTGCTGGAGACTTGAGTGAGGAACACCCATCACTCTCATACTCTAACCATAGTGTCTTAGAAGCTCTATCTTGGGAGTCTTAGATTTTAGGTAGCTTCTGCTTGTTGATAAAATGGACAGCGGTGGGAATATTTCCCTGGCAGTCCAGTGGTTAGGGCTCCGCACTTCCACTGCAGGGGGCACGGGTTTGATCCCTAGTTGATCTAAGATGCCACATGGCCCAAAAAAAGAAAAATAAAAACATGGACAGCAATATTCTAGGTGTTTTTCTTTGCTTCTCAGATATTTCCATATGAAATGCTGATGGTGACCAACAGAGGGCGCAGCAAAATCCTAAGAGACGTGGACAGAACCAGGCTAGAGGTAAAAAAAACAACAAACAAACAAAAAAACTTGTCCCAACTGCATATTCCTGTGCATTTTCCACAACTTCCCCCTAAGAAATGTTCCAGTTAAGGCAAAAAGATAAAAAGGATCAACCTAGGTTAAACTAAGCTAACTTGGAGGAAAACCCAAATTTGTATTTAAGAGATGAGCATAAAAATGTATGGTAAAGTTCAGAAGAACAACCCAGGAGATGCAGTATGATTTTAGTCATTTTCTCTGGAGATTTGGCGTTGCCCTAATTTATGGCTGGAGATGTGGAATGGAGTCTCCATCACTCTTCAGATACCCCCAAATCCTTATCTTTCTCTGAGCCTGGGTTGAGTTTGTGGAGATTGGGGAGGGAGAGTTCACTAAAGAGGTGTGTACTGGGCAAGTTTCTCCCTTGGCTGTTTCCACATTCCTTGTCGAAGGGTTCGCTGGGTACACATACCCAAGTCCTCCTTAGATGTGGAAGACTGATCTTTGTACTTTTCCATCTGAATGGTTTTAATTAAGGAAAACTCTGGCTGCTAATCTCATAAAGAATCATTAATTTTCTCTGACAAAAAGCAGTACATCTGTATGTGAGGTCAGGCTGGCACAGAGAATAAAGGCTCCACTATCCTAAGAGAACCTTACTAGGCGGACAAGAGATTGAAGTTCTTGGTCTCCTCAGAAGACCAAACATCCCACTGCTGAGCCAGGAAAAAGCCCCAGGGATGCCAAAGGACCACTCTGGAAGCCTCTCTCTGGCTTCCTTATTGCTCTGGTCCATTTTCCCTGCATCTCCTCAGCGTCCCAAGGACCTGAAGTGGAGTCACCTCCAGGATAATGACTCATCTTACCGTGCCCCATCGCCATTCAATGTTATCAACAATCATCATTAATACTCCACCAGCTCTTTTCTTTGGTAGGAAGGGTGCCTCACCTGGCCTGGCCAGGTAAGGAACCACTGGGTCCAGTGCCTGCTAAGAAGCCTCAGAGATAAACTCCTCTTCCATCATTCTGCCTTTTGCTCTTCAAAACAATTACTTATAAACTGGAGAGCAACTCTCAAGGTCATCCATGTGGCCATCAGGACTGACCACTGTTCTCTTCTCCCATCACAGCGCCACTTAGCCCCAGAAGTGTTTCGGGAAATCTTTGGAATGTCCATCCAGGATTTTGACAAGTTACCTCTTTGGAGACGCAACGACATGAAGAAAAAAGCAAAACTCTTCTGAGTACCACACATAGACAGCAATTAGAAAAAGGACCGACCATGGCGGTGACACATAGGATGTTGTAGTGAGCCCCAAACTTGATTGGAGACTTTGCAAACTACTGTCCCTCAGCAACAAAAGGGAAAATCTGATTAAAACACCCATGAGCCAAATGATGGGCCAGCCCGTGGCAACATTCGCCCAGAAGCAGTGGGGTAGAAATGTCTGTGTTCCCACCCTCGACAGTAGTGTTCACGTGTGACCTTTTTCCATCACCTTATGTGCACAGCAGGAGCTACTTTGTTTTCTTTCAACTGTTATTCAGTAATAGTGTGACTGTATGGGTAAGAGCCGGCAAGTGCCCTTAGGATGCCGCATGGACAAAAGCAGTTGTAATAATTCCAAAGTACGAGTATATTTATTATGTAGCGCCGCGGCTGAGAAGGAAGAGCCCGAGGGATAGATCCACGTGGCAGCAGCCTTTGCCCTCCCTTTCCTCACTGGCCTCCTGCAGCCCTGCCTGGGCTTCAGCAGGAGGGAAAGCAGAATCGGAGCCCCCGGCAGCTCTGTTTCAATAGCCACCAAAGTCATTTTTAACATGGCTCCTTGTCCCCTACTGTTTGCTAGGACCTGATTGGCAAATTACTTAGCCTATTATTATTTTTTTTGCGGTACGCGGGCCTCTCACCGTTGTGGCCTCTTCCGTTGCGGAGCACAGGCTCCGGACGTGCAGGTTCAGCGGCCATGGCTCACGGGCCCAGCCGTTCCGCAGCACGTGGGATCTTCCCGGACCCGGGCACGAACCCGTGTCCCCTGCATCGGCAGGCGGACTCTCAACCACTGCGTCACCAGGGAAGCCCACTTAGCCTATTATTAAAAAGAAAAAAGAATTAAGAGAAAGAGAGGAAAAAGGAGTGAATGAAAATTCTCCTTAAACCCTTTTCTACTTCAGAAAGCGTGCTCCTCTGCACCAAGGACAGGAGATGTCTCAGCCCCGCAGCCCTCCGCTCTTACAAAGAAAGGAAAGGGGGATTGTCTCCAGATTGGCCCAGTTGTATGCTGTTAGGTGAGTTTTGTCCAAAGGCCACAGCAGTCTTGATCAAAAACAAAAGTTCTGTCTCCTCTCAATGCAAGTTCTCCCACCCAGCAAACTCTGCTCTCTATCTGGCATTCTCTAAATCACATCAAGCCCTGGCTGATTTTGGTTTTTTTAAGGTCTTTTCAGTAGTAGGCTAAGGAAAGGCATGTTTTTCTCTTTGAAATCTCTGCAACTCCAAGGTAGATTGCCTCAGAATGATTTAATTTGGTCTTTTGAGCTTTCTTTCTTGCCTAGGTCTGTGGACTTCCTGGTTTGCATGTGTGCGTTTATGTGTTTTCACTCACCCAGGGCAGTTTGGTGAGTCTGCATGTGCTTTTAAATTTCATTCCTGCTCGAATGTTTGTCCCACTGTGCTGCAGCTCCTCAGGGACATTTGCACAGGTGCACATGACTCAAAGGTCAAGAGTGAGGCTAACTGCATCCCTGCCACCAGGTCCCCTGTGGAAGGATGTTGGTGGTTAGAAGCCAGCATATTCCATGTAGCTCAAGTCAGCATCAGACCGAAGACCGCAGACCTAGGATCAGACTGTGTGTAGACAGCAGAACATCTCACCGGAGTCCTCAAACTCAGTAACACAACATTCACATTGGAGCCGAAGATTACCCCAAAACTTGCATTTAAGACCCCACCATGGTTCCTGAAAGCCTCTGGCTGAGACTCAGACAGGACATGACTCACATGTAGGAGGTTGTCACATCTATTCTCACGCTTTGGGGCTCTGTTTAAGAATTTAAACTCTATGTTAAAGCCAAAGAAGAAAACATCTGAATTCACCTGCATATGCCACTAATAATAAAAGCTCAGAAATTCTTCCTGCTGGCACCGAGTATTAGAATGAGTTAGTAGCTGACACCAGTGGTAAAAAGCAAGTAGAATATTCTTTCTGATCTTGTACTGCAGACCTAACTTGTGACATGCTCTAGCAACCGGGTGCTGTAGTGAATACTGCAATTGCTTTATAGTATTCTGTGTTTCCCAAGGGAATCTAAACCTGCCTGACCTTTGCTAGACATTGAGTGTTTGAGGACTCTTCTCACAAATACGTGTGTGTGTGTGTGTGTGTGTGTGTGTGTGTGTGTGTGTGTGTGGGACCTACTAACATATTTAGCAAATGGCTCTGATGAGGTAGATGTGAGGAGACCAGCTCCTCCTTGGACTGAAGGCAGACTGCAGCCCACAGTTTCGCCCCTTCATCTATCTGTTGCCTCTTGCTTCATTCAGTACATCCGCTGTCCCATCTTCTGTGACCTCTCCTGCATGGGTAGCCTGGGCACAACGCCTGTGTGTCCTAATCCTTGCTTCGCTCTGGCAAAGTGTGAGGGGTGAGGACCGTGGTGTAGTCCCAGGGTTCCCCTGCCATGACCAATAACAAGGCCAAACGTATCCGAGGTTTCGGCTGGAGGAGAGGTTTTTTTTCATTGGCTAATGAGTTATAATCCACGTACTTGCAGATTAAATGTCAGTGTAAGAAAAATGGCGATGATAGTTAAAGAACTGAGCCCTAAATTTGCCGCCACTAATGAAACTCTACTTTTCTTGTAACTTTTGAATTCAGTTTTGCATCCATCTTGGCGGGGTCGGGGGTGGGAAATAGCTTCTTTCCATATCAAGTGTATGAGCTAATTTAAACTACACCGTGCAAAAATGCCTTGCCAGAACATGCCAGTAGCCTCCTGGCTGCAAGCAGAGCAGTGCTGTGCTCTAGGGAAGGGGGCACTGGGAACGCAGAGTGGGCTTCCCAACCCCACTCCCCAGCAGAAGGCTCCAGCCACGGGCGCGGGTCACAGGGCAACCTGATTCTTCCAACTGCCAAATTGAATCAGTGGGGCTACAGCGCCCTATGTGTTTCGTTGAACTGGACTCAGCATGCGTGTCCCGAAAATGTCCAGGTCACTGCACAGGAAATCAGTGTTCTCTGCTTGAACCCTGCCCCGCATAAAAAAATTCCAGTGGTTAACACAGTCAAATTAAGGAGGATTGCTTACTCTAGGACAGGAAGTATACACATGGTAAGCTTCCTTAGTGCATACATAAAGGGCTACATTTTTGATCAGTGGGTTTACTAGTGATTCTTGAAGCATAGGCTGATTGCATGAAGAGGCCTCTATGATGACCTGAAAGTCAGTGCTTCCTTTAAAGTTGCTTCCAAAACAGCCAGGATACCATTTAGTCTTCTGGTGTGATTTATGTTGAGATATAAAGAGCGTTGGGAAACCTGTCCAGCTCGCTAGGTATCTACATTTTGGTTTGGGTTCATTATGAAATGTTCTTACTGTGACTCCTTCAATAACAAAAGATAAACTGCCTGGTCCCTGAAACCTTGAACAGAAAAGCTAGAGACAATGGGGAATAAGGTGCAAAGGAAAAAAAAAGTAGTTTCTATCTGTCATGTCCTCTAGTCTCCCCAGTTCTCCCCAACTTCCCATTCTGTTGTTGCCAAGCTGAGTTTCCTCTTCCGAGGTGAGGCTGGAACAATGCTCTTTTCAACTCCTATCCCCTCCATCTGGTGATGTCAGTCAACTCCACTTGGAAAAGTCTTGCTAGAAATGTTCCTAAAACTTTCCTCTAATTTCTTTACACTTTAAAGCAAACACCTTTTTCTAAAGAATTGCTTCTTAGATGATTATACAGTATATATATCTATGCTTTTGCAAGTTTAAAAATTCAAATGAACCACTTTTGACTAGGTAGGTCTTTCTAAAAAAACTCTCTAAAGCAAACTTGATGTTAGCATTCTCTTGCATGTTGAAGGGGCAGGGGACCCTCCAGGCTGTGGGCTCCCAGAGCCCTCTTTCTGACTGTCAGGAAAGATGGTGGAAGGAAGATGAACTCTGTGCCATCAGCCCTTCTGCATCCTCTGCAGCAGGCTCAGTTTTTACAAATCACCTCATCTGTATTTCCGGTCACTGTTTAATCTACTTCCGAGGCCAGCCTTGATTTTATCTGGCTTGTAAAATCATTTTCCTTTTTATAAAACAAGTGTTTGTCAGGATGCCCTAAAACTCACTCATTAGTACTCCCTTTTGAAGAACGTTCTATCCAGAAAAAGAGATCATTTCAGGCTTGAGGTTCGTAATGACACCTTATAGTGGCGATGTGTGTTAAGGGAACTACCCAATTATGTTGTAATGAAAGAAGGAGAAACTTTGACTTCGGCGTTTTAAAAAATCACTGTCTTTCTATTTGCTGTCTAGGGAGTAGTGGGGAGATGGTGACTGACACGCTTTGCATATGGATCTGTGTATTTCTCATTTGGGGCAAGTTTCATTTCTGGCAAACTCAAAAGGAAAGGGGGAGGTGGTCAGTTTAAGCTGAAAAACTTTCTAAACAATATATGTGTACACAGCAAAATTAAACCCAATCTTTTCTGATGCTTAGTGTAATTGAGTGGCGATTGTTATCATTAAATAAAATTCTTCCCAAAAGAGTATCTCCCAAGAGTGACGATGCCATGAGTCGCTTTCTGAGCCCGTTTGCCAAAGGTAGAGGAAAAGACTGCATCCACTAACATTCAGAAAGGCAATGAGCCACTTAGTGACTGTATATGTGTATGTTTCTTTACCCTACGGAAGAGAAGACGAATGTCTGCAGGATTGGTGTTCTTTTGGGGTGTTATGTACAGACCTGTCCCGTGATAAACGTGTGGTTTCTGTGAGTTGCTGACAGTCCTGCATCGAAGCTTTTGCAGTTCTTTCCTTTTTAAGTTGGGTTTAATGGAATTTTTTTTCAAGTGTTGGAAGGCATACTGTTCTTCCTGCCTCCCCTCCCCTTCCAGAAACAAGAAAGCAAATATTTGGAAGAAATGCTGCTTAAAAGATGTATCATGTCCCCCGTGAAAGTGAGTGGATATCGGTCGGCATCCTGAATGCCACGTGCCAGTGTGCAGAGGTGGGATGGCCCTGGGCCTGCGTTACTGTGCTTGGGACACCCAACGCGCTCCACACTCTTGAAATCAACACCTGCCGCCCCTCTGCCGCTGTCCTGCCTCACTGTTGTCCTCACAACTCAGTGAATAAAGTGTGTGCTTTATGCCTCCACACCGGGTTTCCTTTCTGGTTTCCCCTGCTCCCTTTCAAGGTCTGTCCCATTTGAAAAAGTGCCAGCCCAACTTCTAAAGACAAAAACAAAATCAAAGTCCTGGGAATGCACTTTTATCACGTAGGAAGGCAGGTTAGAGGGGAAAATGCATCAGGTAGCAGCGGTATATTCCAGAACTGTTTGCCCAGTGACCCAGACCATATTGACCAAGTGAACTAAAGAAACAATTTAATAGAGCTGTTGCACTGTGCTGATCTAGCTGGTATTCAGTTTTGTGTGTGACACAGAGCAGCAACGGTCTCATCACTTAGGCAAGGCTGGGGATTTGAGGTTTGAGGACAGGAGCTTCGGAACCGCTGCCGTGAGTTGGGCCATTTTACTAAGAAACTAGAATGCAGTGGGAGGAAAACATCTTTCAAAACATCTTTGACCTCCACTGTCTGGCTTACTTCACTTAGTATGATAATCTCTAGGTCCATCCATGTTGCTGCAAATGGCATTATTTCATTCTTTTTTATGGCTGAGTAATATTCCATTGTATAAATGTACCACATCTTCTTTATCCATTCATCTGTCGATGGACATTTAGGTTGCTTCCATGTCTTGGCTGTTGTGAATAGCACTGCTATGAACATTGGGGTGCATGTATCTTTTTGAGTTATAGTTTTCTCTGGATATATGCCCAGTAGTGGTATCGCAGGATCATATGGTAGTCCTATTTTTAGTTTCTCAAAGAACTTCCATACTGTTCTCCATAGTGGCTGCACCAATTTACATTCCCACCAACGGTCTACTACTATTTTGGATAGTTTAATCATTCAAGAATTTAAGTTTTTGTTCTGGGCTTTTTCCCCCTCTAGTCTTTATCATGAATTCTCCAGCATTAAAACAAGCCCACAGCTTTTATATGCTTCAATAACAACACTCT